GTCTGGCAGGCTATAGTCCATGCAGTTGCAAAGAGTCGGACATAACTGAGCCTGCATGCAATGCAACTAGACTCCCAAGCCTCAACTTCCATTTCCAGATGTATTATTATGGGAGGAAAAGAAACTTTTATTCATTTACATTTTTGCTATAGGCAGAGTGAATTCCCCCGCCTCTTGGGGATGAGCCACCACCGCCCTGCCAAGCTCCTCCTCTGCAGGGTTGTACAGTGGGCACTCCAGGGTGGTGGCCCTGTTTGCTGGCCGCTGGCTTTGAGGCTACTCAGCCACATGAAAAGCTCTTTGAGGAAAAGAGTCTGTCTTCTCCTTATTTCTACCCACTGCATAAATAAGCATTTCTAGCATTCTCCTATTACTAGTGATTCGGCCATAGACAAGTGACTTAACTTCTCTGAGCCTCAGGCTGTTTGTCTGTAATGAGCAGATAATAAAAGTACCTACTTCATCGGCTTAAGAATAAATATGATAGTGAGCATTGCACATTTAGAATAGGATCTGACCTACAGCACATACTCAATAGATATGAACTATTATTGGTGGTGTTATTCTTGTTGCTATTGTTATTCAGTCGTTAAATCGTGTCCTACTCTTTGCGACCCTGTGGACTGCAGCACGGCCAGGCCTCCCNTGGAATACAGGGAGATTCAACCAGTTCATCCTAAAGGAAATCAGTCCTGATATTCATTGGAAGGACTGATGCTGAAGCCGAAACTCCAACATTTTGGCCACCTGATGCAAAGAGCTGACTCTTTGGAAAAGACCCTGATTCTGGGAAAGATTGAGGGTGGGAGGAGAAGAGGATGACAGAGGATGAGATGGTTGGATGGCATTACTGACTCAATGGACATGAGTTTGAGTAAACTCCGGGAGGGTGGGGGTGTGTCCCAGCTATAAGTAATCATAAGGCTCTACGGGGCTCCCCAGATGAAGAGCAACCCTTGGAGGCCATGCAACTACAACTTGGCATTGGCTGACTTAAATGACAAGTATTTTAGAAATTTTTTCATCTTTTTTGCTCTTCATGGTGACTAAATTGTAAGCTTGCTTGACTTTCTCTGGGCTTCCCTGATAGCTCAGCTGGTAAAGAATCCTCTTGCAATGTGAGAGACCTGGGTTTGATCCCTGGGTTGGGAAGATCCCCTGGAGAAGGGAAAGGCTATCCACTCCAGTATCCTGGGCTGGAGAATTCCATGGACTGCATAGTCCAGGGGATTGCAAAGAGTCAGACACGACTGAGCAACTTTCACTTCACTTGACTTTCTCATCATACCTAGCCTAGTGCCTTTGTCAAGTGTATCTATTAGGAACACTCTGAGATGCAAATAACAGAAAGAGCCGTTATTGTGTTTTCAACAAATAGAAGGTTACTTTTTTCTCCCAGATCAGAGTCTGAGAGTAGATGACCCTGGATATGGTTCAGTGGCTCAACAGCATTAGGGCCAGAATCTCTGCAAGTCTCTGGGCTTTTAAAATATATATATTTTTTTATTGTGGTAAAGGTCACGTAGTACAAAGCATACTTTTTAAACGATATTTAACTGTACAGTTCAGCATCACTAAGTCCATTAACATTGGTGTGCAACTCTCAATATCATCATCTCCCAAATTTTTCATCTTCCTAAACTGAAATTTTGTCCCACTAACTCCCCATTCCCCCTTCCCATTCACCACCCCCCTGCCCACGGTATCCACCAATGCACTTTCTGACTCTATGATTTTGACTCTTCTAGGCATCTCGTATAAGCAAAATCAAACAATGTTTGTCTGCACCTAATTGCCTGTCTCTTGGCTTTCCCCTCATGTTCAAAACATAGTTGCCACAGCTCCAAACAGAAGACAAGGAACAGGGACACCAGCCATAGCTATTCTTTCAGTCTTGCTCCTCTCCCTCAACTTTTATTGGCCACGTAATGTCACATGACCATTCTTAGCTGCAAAGGAGGCTGTGCGTCTAAGAATCTAATCATTCCTTTTTTAAGCCTGAGGCAGAGCCAGACTAGAAACGAGGGACTGGGCTGGGCATTGTATTAGGCAGTGGGCCACGAGTGTCTGCCGCACCATACCTCAAAGAATGAATGAATCTAAGAGAGGGTTTTTACCTGCACAAGTCTGTGCTACGAAGGAACACAGGGATCTGGTTTTCAGAGCCCTGCGTGGTCACTGCCTCATCAGAGGTCATGCCTGATGAGAGCTTGCTCCCAGCGTTCCCTCAGGATCATCTTCCCTCTCTCCTCCACCAGGCCCCCTTGCGGGCTCCCCTCGATTGTGGAACCCCAATAAAGCTCTCTGCAGCTAGAAGAGGCAGGCAGGGGTCCATCCCATCTGCTGCCGGTCCCTGCCCCCATCCTGTCCATACAAGATTGATAATGAAACCAATACCTTTCACCAGCGTAATTTTCATATTTAATGAGCGTGACTCAAAAACTATTACATTAATTAGTCAAATCCCACAAACCGTTAATGGTGCACGCAGTAATTAATACCGTATTCAATTAAAAAATGACCTGTTTCGGGGGCTTCTCCCAGGTTAGGGGTGTCGGGGGGCTAGGAGTGTTTGCTGACAGGCTGGCAGAAGCCCCATGGTTGCTTCTTGCCTCTGCTCTTTCTTTTCCTCTTTCTTTTCCCAGTGATTCAGTGGAGGCAGAAGGTGCCAGGAGGACACGGTCCTCCCAGCACAGCCCCGCCGGGCCGGCGACCAGCTTCCCCTCTGCTTGGCTGCTCGTCCCCTCGCCCCTTCCCCCTCTGCCAAGCCGACAGCCTACTTGCTGTGATTTATGGGAGGGCCTGGCACAGGGCTCACAGACTGGAAAATTTCCAGTTTACACAAGAATTCCCTGAAAAATGAGCTTGGTTAATTTATTTCTTTCATTAACGAGTTTGAACTGTGAGATAATCTTTCTGAGCGCCCCCCATGTGCCCACCCTGCATTGTTCACACATGACAAGCTGCATCCTTGCCTGCCCCCCCTCCCATCTAGGCAGGACCTGGGAGGGCTGACACTGGAGGCGGGGAGTCTCAGCCTGTTGGTCTGTCCGCTGAGACTAGGGGCCTGTGGCCGACTGGGGATCCCCTTGTCTCCCACCCTGTTAATAACCAGGTTTGAAGCTGGGGCTAAGTCAGTGAACCCCTTGGCATCGTGTTAGCTCACTGTACTTACAGAGGGCATGTCCCTGCTTAGGCCATGGGCGACTGAGAGGAGTTTATATCAAAACGTTTCTCAACCAGGAACTTAGAACCGAAGAGTGGAGGTAGGATGTATCTGCAGGACCCAACTGGAGGGCAAGTCCTGAGACCAGGCCCACCCTTCACCTGTGTGGCTGGAATGAGAGTGTACCCCCTGACCTGTGGTTTTCCCACTTCTCTTCCTCCAGGACACCCCAGCCTGAACCCCCAGCTTTGACCCTCTGCTACACAGCTCCCTCTTGAGCATCCATCCGGCCTGGGGTGAGCATGTTGGAGGCTTGACCCACCTCCCAAGGGTGGAATCCAGAAAAGAGGCCCACGTAGGCACTGGAAGCCATTGAGGGCCCAGCGGGCAGGGAGGATGAAGAATCTGTCTACAAAGGGGCACAGGCATGGCTCCTGACTCCTTGCCCCATGGGGAGGGGCACGGCTGCAGAAGAGTGACTGTAGGGGGACAGGACCCCATTGCCTGGGCCTAAGGGCAGATCTCATGAAATTATGGTGGAAACACAATTGAAAATCAGAGGAGGGGGACTTCCCTGGTGGTCCAGCGGTTAAGACACCACACTTCCAGTGCAAGGGATGCAGGGTCAAGCCCTAGTCTGGGAATTAAGATCCCACATCACGAGTAACGTGGACAAAAACAAACAAACCAACAAAAACCAGAGCAGGACGGGGTGAAGCCAGGAGGAGGCAGCATAGTCTATGGGTAGAGGACCTGGGCTTTGGAGCAGGACTGCCTGGTTGGAATCCCGATTCTATCACTTTCTGGCTGTGCAACTACGGGCAAGTTATTTAACCTCTCTGATCTAAGCATCTTGGTTTGGATGAGGATGAAAATTGTTTCCTCAAAGGACTTCTGAGAGTCAGATAACCTATGAATGCATGGAGCTCACTCTCTGACACATAATAGGGATTCAGTTAGTGGAAATGAGTTTTGTCATATTAATGGGAGCATCATTAGGAGACCTAATGACAGTGCTTTGGAAACATCCAGCCTTGTAGTGGATACGGCGGACTCTGGAGGCACCTGCCTTTACTGTTTACTGGCTGTGAAATCACATGAGCTTCCTGGGCCTGGGATTCCTCATTTCCAAAACAGCAGTTCTAAAAACCACCTCACAGGACATTATGTGAATTAAGTGGAATAATGCATGTTGAGGGTTTACCACATGGTGAGCACTTAGACAAAATTAGTTATTATTATCTGTTAAGTGTCTGTTGTTCTGTCGCTGAGTTGTGTCCAACTCTTTGCGACCCTATGGACTGCAACCTTTTTTGTCCTTCACTATCTCCTGGAGTTTGCTCAAATTCATGTCCATTGAGTCGGTGATGCCATCCAAATATCTCATCCTCTGCCACCCTCTTCTCCTTTTGCCTTCTATCTTACCCAGCATCAGGAACTTTTCACATCAGATGGCCAAAGAATTGGAGCTTCAACTTCAGCATCAGTCCTTCCAGTGAATATTCAGGGTTGATTTCCTTTAGGATTGATCTGGTTTGATTGCAAGAGTCTTCTCCAGCACCACAGTTTAAAAGCATCAGTTCTTCAGTGCTCAGCCTAAAGAGCCTATTGATGAAAGGGAAAGAGGAGAGTGAAAAAGCTGGCTTAAAACTCCGCATTCAAAAAACTAAGATCAGGCACTCTGAATAGGTTCCCCAGGAGCCGGCCTGTGGGAGGCGTGACCAGGAGGAGGCTTAGGCCCGCAGGCCCGGGGCAGCAGGGGAGCGGCGGGCGTGCCACGAAGCGGGAACGGAGGCCCCTGGCTCGGCACGGGCTGCAGCGCGAACACGAACAGGGAGGTGTGCCCCGCGCGGTCTCTCCGGCGGCGGCGGCGGCGGCTGCGGCGCTGACCGGCCAGGGCTGGGCGGGCGTGCGTGCCCTGGCGGGGACCTGGGGCCGAGGGAAAACAGCGCTCTCCTCGAGCAGAAGGAGCAGCAGGAGAGGCTGCGGGAGGCCGCGGCCTTGGGGGACATTCGGGGACTGGTGGAGAGCGGGGTGGATGTGAACTCCCGAAATGAGGTCAACGGCTGTTTCAAATATGGGACTTTATCCAAGACTTCAGATACCTGCCAGTGACTGAATCCTTCCCAGCTAAATAAGGGGCCACATTTTAAGAAGTGACCTGTTTACATTGGGCGTGTAAACACAGTCATGGTCAGGTGGTCTCTTACTTACTGAAATCAGGAGCTGACAAAGAGATTCTTACCACAAAGGGAGAAATGCCCGTCCAGCTAACATCAAGAAGAGAAATTAGGAAGATTATGGGAGTGGAAGATGATGATGGTGACAGCGACGACCACCCCCAGCTGAAGAAGGAGTCAGAACTGCCCTTCGTTCCCAACTATCTGGCCAGCCCAGCCTTCCCTTTTATCTGTACACCTGCATCAGAGGATTCAGCCCAGCTACAGAATGGGCCCTCCGCGCCTCCTGCATCACCCCCTGCAGGTGGCTCGCCTCCGTTGCTGCCCCTGGAGAACTGCCGCTGCTTGGGCCCTTTCCGCCGGACCACACCTCGTTGGCACTGGTTCAGAACGGGGATGTGTCTGCCCCCTCTGCCATACTTAGAACACCAGAAAGCACAAAACCGGGTCCTGTTTGTCAGCCACCAGTGAGTCAGACTCTATCCCTGTTCTGTACTGTCCCATCCAAGCCACCAATGTCTCTGGAACCTCAAAATGGGACATATGCAGGACCAGCGCCAGCATTCCAGCCATTTTTCTTCACTGGAACATTTCCATTTAATATGCAAGAGCTGGTACTCAAGGTGAAGATTCAGAACCCATCTCTTAGAGAAAATGATTTCATTGAAATTGAACTGGACCGACAGGAGCTCACCTACCAAAAGCCGCTCAGAGTGAGTTGCTGTGAGCTGGGTGTTAATCCTGGTCAAGTGGAGAAGATCAGAAAGCTACCCAATACTCTGGTAAGAAAGGACAGAGATGTTGCTCGACTCCAAGATTTTCAAGAGCTGAAACTGGTTTTAATGATAAGTGAAAATTTTCTGTTCAGAAATGCTGCATCCAGACTGACTGAAAGGCCTTGCTACAATAGGAGAGCTTCAACACTGACTTACTAATGCAGCAGGAACTTTTATTACTGAGTATTGTGACAGTGGGCCAAGGACAAGCCACTGATCTAATGCCTTGGATGCCCAAGGACGGCCCCTGATGCCACTTCGTAGTATACACTAACATCGTTCTGCCAAGGTAGGAAGCCCCTGACCCCCAAGCAGCGGTGCCACTCTTCCAAGCCTCTTGGTGCACAATAAACNAAGACTCTTGAGAGTCCCTTGGACTGCAAGGAGATCTAACCAGTCCATCCTAAAGGAAATCATCCTGAATTTTCATTGCAAGGACTGATGCTGAAGCTGAAGTTTCAATACCTTGGCCACCTGATGTGAAGAACTGACTCATTGAAAAAGACCCTGATGCTGGGAAAGATTGAAGGCAGGAGAAGAAGGGGACGACAGAGGATGAGATGGTTGAATGGCATCAGTGACTTGATGGACCTGAGTTTGAGCAGGCTCTGGGAGTTGGTGATGTACAGGGAGGCCTGGCGTGCTGCAGTCCACGAGGTCACAGAGTCGGACACGACTGAGCAACTGAACTGAACTGAACTGAACAGCCTCCCCCATCTATTTGCCATGAGGTGATGAGACCAGATATCATGATCTTAATTTTTTGAATGTTGAGTTTTAAGCCAGCTTTTTAACTCTCCTCTTTCACCTTCATCACGAGGCTCTTTAGTTTTCTCTTTGCTTTCTGCCATTAGAGTGGTATCACCTGCATATCTGAGGTTGTTGATATTTCTTGCTGCAGTCTTGATTCCAGCTTGTGATTCATCCAGTTTGACATTTCACATGATGTATTCTGCATAGAAGTTAAATAAGCAAGTTGACAGTATACAGCCATGTTGTACTCCTTTCCCAATTTTTAACCAGTCAGTTGTTCCATGTAAGGTTCTAACTGTTTCTTCTTGACATGCACACAGGTTTCTCAGAAGACAGATAAGGTGGTCTGGTATTCCCATTCCTTTAAGAACTTCAAGAGTTGGTTGTCTATTACCCCATCTAAATATCTGGGGTTCATCATTATCATCTTCCCACTAACAGTGCTATGGGTTGGATATGCCCATGCACACGAATCTCTAGGAATCTTATTAAAATGACTCTGATCCAGCAGGCCTGAGGAGGAGTCTGAGATTCTTCATCTCCACCCAGCTCCCAGGTGATGCTGATGCTGTTGGTCCATGGACCACACTTTGAGGAGCAGGGTGTTATTTTATGTACATAATTGATGCAGAAGTGGAATTTCTAAAAGGTCATATTTCTTATGCATGATTAAGACTTAGCAATAGAACTAGGATTTAAACAAAGGCATTTGGACTCTAGAGAACCAGGAAAAAAACTGTTTGGGATCTGAAAATGGCCAATAGATAAGAATTTGATGGTGTTCCAAGTCACTCCAGGGGTACTAACCACATTTGGCCTTATTTCAGTGGTTTATGGCACCATGGGGATCCCAGGCCTCAGGGAGTTCCTCCAGCCCAGCCCCTGGGTGCAAGTCTAAGTCCTGGGAAAAGCAGGCTAACATGTAATTAATGCTACACACTTTAAGTGCATCATCTTCTGTAATCTATTTGCTTATTCTTGCTTGCCTCAGTTGCATCCTCTGCAAAATGGGCATAATTACAGTTCTTATGTCCTAGGATTGTGTAGGATGACACAAGTTCTTTCAAGCAAAGCACTGAAAACAGGGCTCCCCATGAGGGAACAGTGTGGCACAGAGGTGAAGTATGTGGCCTCTGGAACTGAAGGGTGTGGGTTCAAACGCTGGCTATATCGTTTATTACCTATGTGACCTCTGGCAGTTGAAGTTAATTACTGTGTGCCTTAGTTCCCCACTCTGTAAAAGGGGAATGATAATAGAAGTAAGGCCTAAATCTCTTAGAATAGTTCTTGTTTCATACGAAATGCTATTTCAGCCTTATTATTATCATTCATCTTCATACAAAACCTATGAGATAGTTGCTCTTGTCTTACCTGTGTTTCTGACATGGAAACTGAGGATCAGAAACTTAATTTCTTGCCCAAGGTCATGCAGTCGATGGCAGATCTGGATGTGAAAGCAAGCATTCTGACCCTAAATCTGCCCTCACCGTCCTCCCTAAAAAGGTTGTCTTTACTCCAAATCTCCTTGAGCCAGCACCATTGGCAGGGGTCGAGGGGAGTGGGGCGGTGCTAAGAGGAATTTCCCCTCTTCCGAGCAGCAGAGGTGGCTTCAGCACGTGGGAGTCCCCAGGGCACAGTGTGTTAGCTGCGCCCACGACAGGAGGGGGCTATGGCGTAGGACGTGGCAGCAGTGGCCGTGGTGGGAGCTCCTGTACAGGAAGGATGCTGGGTTCTTTGGGAGGCCTGGGTGATGCCCACCACCTATGCCAGCCTCAGTAAAGGTGGGTTCTGGCAAAGGCAGCAATACTGGTGGCTGTGCCCATGTCTCACCCTCCCAGCAGCCACAGGGGCGATGCTGATGAGGGCGAGTGTTCTCAGTGGTAGCTGGGCTGCATCCACCCAAGGAGGCAGAAGGGTTTTGCCACCTGCGGGCTGGAGGGCTTGTTAATGAGACCACAGGACATATCTGTTAGGAATTCCCAGAAGACATCTGAATGAACTTTGACCGATAATGGGTAGTGGGGAGAGCTGGAGAATTACTGCTTATTGCCGTTGATACTTCTGGATTTTTATCTCCAGATCCTGGAGATGGGAGGAAATGGGTCTTTGAACACCCCAGCTAAGCTGTGAATTCCTGGAGAACAGGAACCACACTTTATTCACTTTCGTGTTCCCCATAGGGAGTATACCATCCTGTCTTACAATTAATCTGGCTCCCCTATTTGTTGCATAAATTAATCTAGACCAGTATATGAAGTACTCTGGATTGCATGTTTGTGCCCTCCTTCCCCTCCTCCCCATTCATATGTTGAAGCTTTAATCCATGATGCAATGGTATTAGAAGGTGGGGCCTTTAGGAGTTTATTGGGTTTAGAACAGGTTGTGATTGTGGAGCCCTCACGATGGGATTAGTACCCATATAAGAAGAGGAAGGGACCAGAGCTGTCTCTCTCTTTCGGACATGTGAGGACACAGCAAAAAGGCAATCTACAAGCCAGGAAGAGGGCCCTCATAGGAACCCAAACTGGCCTTCTGATCTTGGACTTCCATCCTTCAGAATTATAAGAGACAAGTAACTGTCATTTAGGCCACCTAGTTGGTATTTGTCCTCTCAAACTGAGTTAAGACAGAGAGGGAGAAGCAAAGGGCTAAAATACTCTGGCACAAAGATGGCTAACACCCAGGCTACGTTCAAGGGGACAGGGGTGGTCAGGGGGCTATGGACGGCATCAACCCTATCAGTTCTTCAATCCCACCTCTCTCCTCTACTAAATGTATTAGTGCCTCCTTTACTTCACTAAAATGCAATCCACAGATAATATAACCTACGTATGCGTGCATTTGTGCTTTGTGATCCTATAGATCACATGTCTGACTCTTTGTGATCCTATAGATTGTAGCCCTCCAGGCTCCTCTGTCCATGGGATTCTCCAGGCAAGAAAATTGGAGTGGGTTGCCATGCCCTCCTCCAGCAGACCTTCTTGATCCGGGAATCAAACCCAGCTGTCATACATTGTAGGCAGATTCTTTACTGTCTGAGCTACCATTCTATAATCAATTCAAAATATGAGCTAAGAGTTTACAAAAGGAGTTGGAAGCTTGCACTTATTTGAGATTCACTGTAAACTTGACAGCTCCAAGTACAGAGCTATACATACTGCCTAATGAGTGAAATACTGTAGGTTGTATCTCCATTTTGTGATTCCACTTTCTAAAATAGTGAATGGCAAGTCTTGAATAAAACAAAGTTGAGTTTCACTTTGATTTACAAGAGTTGAACTGCTGGAAATTTAATAATGTTAAAACATCTCAGAAGATTGTTTTGTGTTTGTATGTAAAAAAGTGGTCAGATATGGGCTCAGATCATTCAGATCAGGTTTTTCAACTACATGAATGTCCAGTAGAAGTTTTGAAATTCATGTGAGACAAGAGGCCATCTTTGTCATGCAGGATTATCCTGTGTGTTTTTGGAAGCCAGTCTCCTTGGACGCACCCACTAAAATGCCAATTGGGAAGCCCAGTCACTAGAATCACCAACCCCTCCCTCTTATACACCAAGAGCTATTATCATGAGCTGGGTTCCTAACCTCTGTGTGCTTAGTCATTCAGTCATGTCTGACTCTTTGCAGCCCCATGACTGTAGCCCACCAGGCTCCTCTGTCCGTGGGATTCTCCAGGCAAGAATACTGGATTGGGTTGCCATTTTCGTCTCCTAATCTCTAGGCAGGGGTTATTGTCATGAATTTGGGCCTGTAATGCCAAGCTTTCCTTGTTCCTTCCACTCCAGGAAAGTTCTTGAATCTCCACTCCATGCATATCTTTCCTCAACTCTGTATTCCTTTAACATGGATGTCACCATCATCATTATGAATGAATGAGATTTCTGAAGCCAGGTCCCAGGCATTGACCTCCTGGATACAGCTGCTGTCCTCCTGAGGAAGGAGTCATCTTCTCGGCTGGGTGAAGAGCAAGAGATGAGACCCTGCCACAATCCCCACAACCTTCCCCACTGTGCGACCAGGCCTCGTGCTGGAGCCCAGGGCCTGTGCCACCTGCTGCTCTTCAGGCAGCACTATGGAATTTGGAATTTGGGTAGGAGTTCCCACCATCCTACTATACCCTGAAAGACCGAACTGCTCAATCGGCCTTTATGTTTTCTTATTAATAAGAGGAAAACATGAAACTGGGAGAGAGATGTGATCCTTGGCAAAGTTGATCTCAAACAGATTCAAAGGTGCCTGTGAACTGTGCAAATCCAAGCAGATCATTTAACTTCTCTGAGTCCTCATGTCCTCAACTTATGCATGGGTCATGTGAAATGGTTCACGAGAGAGAGCTCTGTAAACTGTACAAATTTATATTAATATGATAAATGGCTTTTACCTTTATTATTTCAGCCAGTCCAATGGTCCACTTAAATATGCCAATGAATACAAGAGCAGTGGGTGGGAATCCTGAGTTACAGCAGCAACGGATACACATATTCCTCAAATCCATCATCTAGACCAGGGGTTGGCAACCTGTGGCCCATGGGAAAATTTGACCCCCCAGCCTGCTTTTCAAATAAAGTTTTATTGGAACAGAGCTGAGTTTA